TTATATACAAATGCAAAACTTCAGAGTGTTTTTAAAAATTAAACATCACAATTAAAGTTACTACCTCTTTCCTTTTTCTCCTCATTTAAACTGTCGATGCTACGTGGTCATGAATCCTATCCCAACTATCTCATAACCTGATAGTCAAAGCCCCACGACCAATCCTGCAAGCTTTTTCAATCTGCAATTGTGCACACAGTTCAGTGTTGGTTCTTTTTTGCTTCCATAGTCCTACCTGCATAGTAATGAATTGATCTACTGTCAATCATGATTTCGTGATTGTTTCTTCCATCATCTATAATGAGCCCCGTGGCAGTGGATTTGTTGGACTCATCATGCTGATGGCTTCCCTGTTCTGGAGGATGTATTTTGTCTTGATTAAGTATTAATGAAGGGGTCTCTATAGAATATGGTGTGCCGTTGTGGGTTAATGTGCTGAATCGCAAGATGGGTTTGAACCACACAGTTGGAGATTCAAGATCACTAGCTGCTCATTGGAAACCATGTAGAGGATCACTATGAGTCAGAACTGACTCTATGGCACTTAACAACAACAACAACACAGAATATGCTGAATTGTGGTGTGGTGTTTTGGAATAATGCACTGGCCTCAAGGTGGGTTTGGACCACAAGATCGGCAGTTCAAAATCACAAGCTGATCCTCAGAAGCCGTATGCAAATTAGCTATGAGTCAGAACTAACGTGATGACACTTAACAGCAACAACAACATAGAATATTCTAGGGAGCAAGGTGGCTCTGGTTTGAGTCCACCAACTGCTCTGCTTGGCAGGAGAAAGATGAGTCTTTCTATATACAGAGATTTACAGCCTCAGAAACTCTATACTGGGTTGCTATGAGTTTGAACAAACTCGACAGCACTTCACAACAATAACAACCTAGAATATGTTTTCTTTTTTCCCCCTTAGAACAGCTGTAATCTTTATGGAAGAATAGCTAGGCTCCTCTTTTATTCTTTCAAGTGAGAAACCATGGATGAGAAAGTTTAGGGATAGAACCAGAAGGTATAGACTTTAGTTTAACAAAAAAAATAGCAGAATTGTGAAACAACAGTCACAGAGTCCATTAGAGAAATCAAACTGAAAACATAATCTACTCCAAATCCAGAAAACCTCTACACCAAGTTGTTGTTGTTGTTAGGTGCCATTAAGTTGGTTCCAGCTCACAGCAACCGTATACACAACAGGATGAAACACTGCCTGGTCCTGTGCCATTCTCACAGTTGTTGTTTTGTTTGAGCTCCTTACTGCTGCCATTGTGCCAATCCATCCTGTTAGAGGACTTCCCTGACATCCCATTTTACCAAGCATGATACCCTTCTCCTGTGAGTTGTCCCTCCTGATAACATTTTTCAAGTATGAAAGATGAAGTGTTGTCATCCTAGCTTCTAAGGGACATCCTGGCTGCATTCCTTTCAGTACAGATTTGTTTGTTTTTCCATGGTACTTTTAATATTCTTCAACAACACCATAACTCAAAGACATCAATTCTTTTATGAACTTCATATTCATTAGCCAACTTTCACATGCATATGAAGCAATTGAAAATAGTATAACTTGGATTAAGAGTACCTTAGTTCTCGAGTTTGCTCATGAACACTGTAAAGAGGTCCTGTGCAGCAAATTTGTCTAATGCAATGCATCGTTTGATTTCTTGGCTGATGCTTCCATGAATGTTGATTATGAATCCAAGCAAAACATAGTCCTTGACAACTTCAATATTTTCTCTATTTATTATGTTGTTATTTGTTAGACCAGTTGTGAGGATTTTTGTTGATCTTACACTGAGGTGCAATTCAAACCGAAGGCAGTTGTCTTTGATTTTCATCAGTAAATATTTTAAGTTCTTTTAACTTTCAGCAAGCAAGGTTGTATCATCTACGTATTGCAGGTTGTAAATGAGTCTTTCTCCATTCGTGATGTCATGTCCTTCTTCATATAATTCAATTACTCGGATTATTGTCTCAGCATACATATTGAATAATATGATGAATGGATACAACTTTTGTGTACACCGTTCCTGGTTATAAACCATTCTGTGTCCCCTTGTTGTGTTTGAGTGAATGCCTTTTGGTTTAATGTACAGATTTCTCACGGGCACAATGAAATATTCTGGCATGCCAATTCTTCATGATGTTACCAATAATTTGTCATAATACACAAAGTCAGAAGCTTTAGCATAATTAATGAAGCATAAGCAAACATCTTTCTGGTATTCTGTGCTTTCAACTAAAAAGCATTTGCCATCAACAATGATATGATTCTTTCCATACCCTCTTCTGAAACCAGCTTAGATTTCTGGCAGTTCTCTGTTGATGTACTGGTGCAGTGATATTTAAATTATCTTCAGTAAAATGTTACTTTCAGATGTTATTAATGATATATTTTTGATGATTGCCACATTAGGTTGGGTCACATCTCTTTGGAATGGGTACCAATATGGATTCCAGCCAATCAGTTGGCACTTCTTCCTTCACTAGCATAGGTTCTTCATCATATGCTACCTCCTGAAATGGTTGAACGTCGACCATTTCTTTTTGGTACAGTGACTCTGTGTACACCTTTCATCTTCTTTTATTGCTTTCTGTATCACTCAATGTTTTCTGCATAGAATCTTTTAATATCTCAAGTTGAGGTTTGAATTTTTTTTTCAGTTCTTTCAACTTGTGAAATGCTGACTCTTTTCTTCCCTTTTGTTTTTCTAATTCCAGGTCTTTGCACATTTCATTGTAATACTTGACTTTGTCCTTTCGTGCTGACCTTTGAAAATTTCTGTTGTATTCTTTACTTCCTTATTTCTTCCACAAAATCAGCACTGGACTGGAAACCACAAGAGTCAACAGACAGTTCAAACCCACCAACTGTTACTCAGAAATCCTACACAGTGTAGCTCGGAGTCTAAACTGACTGGATGGCACGTAGTATAACAACACCCCAGAATGTATGTGATTCATCACAGACAATCAAGTAAAGAGAACCCAAAGACAGACAAGAACAGGATCCTTTATATACCTGTGTGGACAAAACTATTTACATTCTTTTTTTTTTTCAGATAAAATTTCTGCTTATCTAGGACATCTAGTCATGTTCATTGCTTTCCAGGAATATGTAGGAGTATAAGTTTTCTTGATGATTACATTTCTAAAGAGATTGTTTCCAGATTTCTGTGGTAGCATCCTGGATTGACAAGCATTTCTAAGATGCAAGGGAAAAAAATCACATTTACTAGTCCCTACACTTAACAACAACCACAACAAAATAAATTCTAAGGGAGTCCTGGTGTGGCACTGTGGGTTAATGTGCCAGAAAGCTGTCTGAAATGCAAGATCAGTGGTTCAAGCTCACCAGCTGCTCCTCAGAAACCCTAGTCAGGTTCACTGTGGGTTGGTATCGACTCAATGGCACTTAGCAACAAGAACAAAGTAAATTCTTAAAAAAAACAGGAGTAGGCTGATTGCATGTTTGATTGATTTCAGACTGAACAAACTGGTAGAAGTTTTCAGTTTCATGATTTTGGTGTAAATTTGGATATTAGTGGTATTAACTGGTGTTCCTAGTAGGTGTGTGGATATTGTCCTATCACAGACAATGTTGAACTGAAAGACAGATTATGAAATTTTCTTTTTGATGAAGAATGCTATACCATTCCTCTTCAATTTGATGTTCCTGGCATAGTAAACCGGTGAATGCCTAATTCAAAATAGCTATTTCCGGTAGATTTTAGCTCACTAATGTATAAGATATCAACTTCTAAGTGTTTCCTTTCTTTTTGACACCTTCAAATTTTTCTAGATTCATGCTTCTTACATTCCACAATCTGATTATTTCTGCATGTTTTTAGCTATTTTCCCTTGTTTCGATTTGTTCTCTATCAGCAAAGGAAGGTTCCAAAAGTTTACTTCACTCATGTAATTATGGTCAACTCTACTTTCAGGAGACAACTGTTCCCACTCGTAATTTGAGAGCTTTCCAGTCAGACGGACTCATCGTATGGCACTATTTCTGACCATGTTCTGCTACTTCTCATTATGGTTTCATCTTTTGGTACTATATCTGACAATATTCTGTTGTTATTCATAATGTTTCATTGTCTAAACATTCAGAAGTCATAAGCCTCTCCTTCTTCCTAATCTTTTTCTGGAAGTACCAGTGCAATTTTTCCACCATCGGCTAGCCTGCTATTGTCTTAAATACTGGTGGCATATCTTCCAGTATCACAGCAGCATACAAGCTGTGGCAGTACTACAGACTGCTAGACAAGTCAACCTAGAGGCCTGTAACAGGTGTTGAACTAATGTATGTACTCAAAAATTGAACAAACTTCTCACATGAGATCTTGCAAATAATGTCTTGTTTATTTTGAGAGAGGTCTATGAACCAAACATCTAGGAAGGAATGAAAACATCCCTTTCAAGATTTGGCTGGGTATGTTACATATTGCTTAATCTGAGACCTGAAATGAGATCCTGTTTTCCATTCCTCTTTCTTCAAGATCCTCTTCTAGCCAAACTCACAGAATGAGATGTTTTTTCAGAGTGTTAGCCTCCTGTGCCACGGCTGTCCTACCCTGCCTCTGGTATTTGTCAGAAGAACAAAGTTCACAGTTTGAAGTGCCATCATAGTTTTGAGTTAGGAAGAAACATATTTGTGGAAGTGTTAAGATAATATCTTAGAAAATAGAAGGAACACACTAATTATCTTCAGTCTCTGGATTGAGTCTGTGGATTCTTGGTTCTGTGTCTGGCCTCCAGAGGGCGATGCTGCACAAACTGGAGATTGTGTTTCTATTGAAGACCAGCCTCATTGGCCCAGCCTCTCCTACAACTGGATGAAAAACTTTCACTATATTCTTTACTGTCAAGCACATGTGACTAGAATCAGTGGTTAGAACTCATCTAGGCTCAGTAGTTTTAGCATTTTTATCTAAGCAAAGAACTTGTTCAGCTTAAACTTCCACACATGTCCTATATTTAATTGCTTAGTTCTGCAGCCACTTTCGTGCCTGCTCAAGGAAGATCTTCCAGAAAAGAGTTTGTCTCCACTGCTTAGCTATGTTTCTGCTGCCCATCTTAGTATATGGGGTGACTATTGCTCTGAGTAAGTAAAATTTCACAGACTCTGATAGGAAATACTTTTCACAGTGAAGTCTGCAATGCTGTCACTAATATAACTTTGATTTTTCAGGAGAAGCCAGAGGGCAGTCAGTGACCCAGCCTGATGTCCAAATCTCTGTCACTGAAGGATTGCCACTGGAATTGAAGTGCAACTGTTCCTATAGTACAACTCCTTATCTCTTCTGGTATGTCAAATACCCTAATGAAGGTCTTCAGCTTCTCCTCAAGTACTATTCAGGGAACACCCTGGTTAAAGGCAACAAAGATTTTGAGGCTGAATTTAAAAAAAGTGAATCATCCTTCAACCTGAGGAAACGCTCTGCCCATCTGGACGACTCAGCTGAGTACTTCTGTGCTGTGAGTGACACAGTGCTTGTGACTGCAGGGGGAGCTGAACACAAACTTCCTGAGACAGCAGGGAGGCTTAGTCCACAAAGGGACCTTGTCTTAGTCCAGGAAATAACTACATCTTCAAGAATTTGAGTTCTAACACAGTTGGGCCATGTACAGCGAGAGTTGTGGAGCCACTATGGAACTGGAGAACTAAATCTAATGTGACATAGCACAGGGGAACTTTGCTTTCCATTCAGCATTTTATTTTTAACTAATCTGAAGCAAAATTGAGCAAGTGTTGTAGGTTTCTCTCATTCTTGCAAGTCTGCTGTCTTTCCAATTTTGTAATGGTTTCCCTATATTCTTTTTTCATAGTTCTAATACTTTGGTTATTTCCCCTCATTTTAGCTGCCCCATTTAGAAGAGAGGAGATTCCTTGGGATGCTGAATGACTTAGAACATGTGGGCTTTAGTAATTTTTTAAATACATATTGTTGAAGAAGGAATGAATGACTCAATTTACTTCATATTTCTTTAGGTACTAAAGGACAGGACCGAAATCTAGTTGCCAAATTCCTACTATTTTGAAATAAGTCTTGTTTTACTTTTTCCAATGATTAAAAAAAAGACACATAATATTTTCATATATTGTTGTTCTGTTAAATGCCATAGAGTCTGTATCAGGTTTCTTAGGAGTGACTGGGTGTTCTGAACCACTAATACTGCAGTTCAAACCAAACTTTCAGTCCATTGCTCATTCTACAGCGCCTTACCAGGATTCCTCTGATTAGGATATAAAAACAAATGTACAAAAGTGTTTTATATATCAAGTGTTTGAATTCTTGTAGTTTAATAATGACTTGGAGGAAAGTGAAGACAAGGGGTGGGATGGGACTTTTAAGGAATGAAAAGAATAATTGCATTGTGGTCAACAATTTAGCTAAGGGGATCACCAGTGAAGATCAACATTATATTGAATTCACAGTGATACTGACTATTTGTGGTATATGCATTGGAAAGACTGTTGGGAAGGAGGAGCTAATGTAAAATTATTCAAATGAACGTATGCTTATTTCCTCTGTTTTGCTCTCCACTCTTCATTCTCTACTCTCTATGAGGCTGGTTATCCTTAGGAAATCAAGGCTCACCGATTCAATTGCATGGTCCCAAAAGACCACATGTGTTTATTTTATACAGATATGTGTGAGGAGAAATTCCAGTTGATTTTGTTGACATGTCACTTTGATTTTAAGGAGGTTTTCTTACCCAGGAGACCAAAAATCTAGGATGAAAGCTAAACTTGAAAGTATTGATTTTTGTTTGTTTTTCACCAGAAGCTGCTCTATAGTACTGCACATTTGCTATACAAAATTTTCTGTTTAGAAGAGGGCAGTTAATCAAACCTCATGATTTATGAAAGACGACTGTGTGTTTCCTTCATTTTAATTTCAATAGTTCGCATAGCTACAAATGGCTAATGAATAAAACTTCCTGGAGTTACTTTTCAATGTTGACTCAGTAATCATTAAAGATGTTATCATACTGGAAACATGGTATTCATTGAGGAATAATGTATTTTTGCTTCTGTGAAATTTCTAATCCTTGGAAACATTTTCTTTTTTTTTTTTTTCCCCCAATTTACTTTGTGAGAAATAACTCTTGTGGGTGTGGTCCATCTTCAGGAATTCAAGAGATTGTTAGACCTGGCAGGCAGATTACTGAAACAAGCAGGCTGTTTTAGGACTAGGAAATTTAGAGGCCAAGATGGACAAACTTCATCTCTCATACTTTGGACATATTGTCAAGAGGGAGCAGTCGCTGGAGAAGGATATCATGTTTGTTAAGGTGGAGGGTCAGAGAAAAAGAGGAAGACCACCAACAAGATGGATTAGCCAAGTGGCATCATAGATGGATTCAAGCGTGGCAACAATAGTGAGGTTGGCCCAGGATTGGGCAGTGTTTCTTTCTGCTGTGCATAAAGGTCACTATGAGTAGATATCGACTCTATGGCACCTAACAACAACAGCAACAGCCATTAAGACCATGGGCAAGCCATTTTGGCTTCTCTGGTGGTAGGGAAAATGGGATGTGCCATAGAATGGTATATGGGGAACTGGAACCGGAGGAGGGGCTTTTTGGAGACAAGAATAAAAAACATTTGTGGCAGGCCATGTGCGTCTGCCTGTGTCTACTGTGTTCAGTGCCTGATTTTGTAAAATCAAATAAAAAAAAAAACCTCACTCTCACTAAAACGAGTACAGATTGGATTACTTGAGTGTTTATCAGTATAGACAACGTTTGTCACAAATTTGGGGGCCCATCCAGGATTTTCTGCCCACTTGGAGCTGCAGCCCTCATGGAAAAGGAGACACGTCCTGCTTTGGTTTTGGCGGCCTGCTCCACAGGGTTGATTGCCTCCCAGTGAGAGCCAGAAAAAGACCTGAGACTGTTAAAAAGATGATCAGAATTAGTGAGAGAGATGTGGAGGACTGAGAACAGAGTAACCACGGCTCCAAGGCAAGCTGTGCACAGGCTAGGGGAGGAAAATTGGACTGTAAGTATTGTCCTTGTGGTCAGGCATTTTCGAAGGTCATTGTGTGACTGAGAGGCATCTTGGATGCTAAGCAATGCGGAGTCCCAATCCAGTTGGAGGTGGACAAAGTTAAATCTTGGGGTTGTATGCAAGAAATCTCCATGAGTACCCAAACATAGGAAAATTTTGGGAAGTTGAGTATGCAAGGAAACTCAGACACCAAGACCAAAAAAAAAAAAAAAATGGGGAACCTAATTCTAGGCTTAGGGAAGAAGGGAGCAGGTGAGACTCTCACAGACGTTCCTCCTGTCAGTCCTCTGGGGAGAATGTTGAGGGCTTGGGGGGACAATCCCCAAACCCAGGAAAAAGATAAAAATATTGTTGTTTTACTTGGCCAAAAGAACAATTCCATTTTTCAGGTCTTAGTATCTTTATCTTTGTTTCCAGACTGTTCTTTTCAGTGTTACTATTCTTGTTGGACTAGAAATGTCCTTCCTCCTTACTTAATTCCTGTTTAGTAGAGGGGGAGGGGGTGGTACTCAGGGTAAAGGAGTGACTATGAAACCAGGGTAATACAGGTCTAGGACCCAGGGGTTCTAACCTGTCCTGACAAGATGGGGTGGGTTTGGATGCTAATATGATTAAAATGTATCATTACCATGTTGTTGTTGTTGTTAAGTGCCGTTGAGTCGGTTCCAACCCATAGTGACCCTGTACAAGGTTTCCGCATTACCATGGGGGAGGTTTTTTGCCTATGACCATCCGATAAGGTTGATAGTAGATGTAACTATGGCATCTTTCCCTCAAACCATCAAGTTAGGTGTTTGCCAAGTTTTATCCTGCAGGAAATTGGAGGACTCAGAGCTTATCTCAATTATAGGGAGCCAAGAGTAGCAATCTGGGTCTATGGAGTTGATTCTTCCCTTCCCTGACTTCAGCACCAAACCCAGGCCTTTTTCCTGTTACTGCCCATAAGGAAATCTTTAATAATGACCCTGAAAGAGTAGAAGTGATTGAGGAAAAAGACATAAGACATACATAAGAAGTAGAAATAGAATATAGGCGTGTGAATGCTTGGGTAGAAGGGGTTAAATATTCAGTGCAAGCTCTCAGTAAAAGTCATTGCCATGTTTGTGCAGCTGATAAACCACAGGCGCAGACAATTCCCTTTTCCCTTAGTTGGGCTTTGGACACGTACTGCAGGTTGGCTCTGTACAAGGATGCTTGAGGAAATGAAACTTGTAAGGGCTTGTCAAAGACAATTTCTTCATTCTCCATAGGGATGAGGAACCACTCTTCTGGTCTTTAAAGGCAGGGAGCAGAGTTCACAGTGCCCATAGGAGAATTGACAACTTACACCCATGTCCAAAATGTCACTGGTGAACCTAGCCGTGTCCTATTTGGCCCTCTGAGTATTGTGGAAAAGGGAATGTCCAAGATTTGCTGTCTTCCAATTGGACTGGGACATGTGTATTAGTCCAGCTGCCAATTCCCTTCACCCTAGAGTTCTGCAAGAAACCTGAGCAACATGAGAAATCTTGAGCTCAGAGATCTCTCCCTGGATCTCTTGATCCATAGTTTCATAAATGACACCAGAGATGCCCTATAAGGGGCAGTTAGCCAGATGTCTTGGGGAAACAATAGCACTAGACATGATGCTAACTGAAAAGGGAGGTAGGTGTATGTGTAATATTGGGAGCTAAGTGTGGTATTCCTAACAGAACAGCTCCTGATGAAACTATCACAAAGGGCCTGCCAGAATTAAGCATCACAGCTAACGAATGGGCTGAAAATGCTGGTATTAACTGACTGGTTAGAGGGGTGGTTTAGAAAGTGGGAAAATATAGCCACCTCAATCTTCACTTTTCTCATGTTAGTAGTTAGAATTTAAACAGATATTAGATGTACTGTCATGCCCTGAGTGTGAAGACTAGTGCAGATTCGGAGGAAGTCTACATTTGGCTGTGTGAGTGGGATTCATTGAAATGGCTCTAGACCTAAAACAATTGTAATGTTTTGTGGGAGAACGAACAAAGGGGAATGGGATAAAACGTTTCAGCTGAAAGGAGAGCAGCTTCTGGAGTTGCCTGGAGCTGTATAAAAAAGAATTAAGGCCTACTGGAAGGAGCTTTGATAGTACAGTGGTTATGAATCAGGCTGCTAACTTCAGGGTCAGCAGTTTGAAACTACCAGCTGTTCTGTAGGAGAGAGATGAGGCTTTCTGCTCCTGTAAAGATTTACAGTCTCAGAAACCCTGTACAGGGTCCCTATGAGTCGGTCAGGGCACATAACAACAAAATGGCCTACTGAAATCTACCCTGTCAGAGGCCCATGGCCATATGTATGTGAATGGGGTTAATTCAGGGTGGAGGGAACTTAAGTGTTTTAAATTTTTAATGTGTTTGATTACCTTATGGATATTGGCTTCTCCTGCTTATTATTGTAAAATAAAATATTGTAAAATGTACAATAGAAATATTGAGAATTATGATTAAGGAAAGTTTGTCAGATGGCTTTTGGCCTATACTTGAGTGGATTCATTAGAATTTAAGGTGGACTCTTCAGCCAGAGGTTGAGTTGATACATTTGCATTTGAAAAAATATGAACACCGACCCAGAACTCTTGAAGATTTGTGAGTTAAAAAAAAAAAAGGCAGACAGAATGGCATTTTGAGTTTCAGAGGCAAGGAAAGTTGGCCCATCAAAGAAAACCCCTTTTTAGGACAGAAAGTTGAAGGGAACCAGCCAGCAATATGCTGGCTGATGCACCACTGACCTTGAGATGAAATAAGAGGAAAAGCTGATAGCTTTTGAAGTGTCTGAGGTATGTGTGAACCCTCAAGCTTGCAGGTGGTACTCATTTGACCTAGCTTGGATGGCTAGGGTTGTTGAGCTGACTAGAACCTGACTAAATAAATATAAACATGTTTAATACTCTGAACAAGCATCAGTTGCTACAATTTGATGGACTGGACTTTTGCTTATGGATGCAGTTCCTAAAAATTCTAATCAGAATGAAAATCTCTTCAAATTGAGGAACATGCACGTCTTCTCAGTGTACTGGATTGGTAGTATGGGTGATTTAGACATTATTATTGCTATAAGTGACTGACTTGACACATTTTCATGGGTGTGCTTGGTTTTAGAATGAGGGGTCAAAGGAAAATTCCCACTGACTAGTTTTGCTGTTTTCCAGATGTGTCTGTCTGGTGAAAGAGGGTATGGAATGATGCTGATGAGATTGTATTATTTCAGTTGTAGTATTGGTTGTGATGGTCAAAACTGTAATTGTAGAAGATATGTAGCTAAAAGGAGGGAATAGTTATTTTTCATTTCAGGACCAATCCCAGGACATCAAGAAGGAAGGGCATGAGTAGAACTTGGGATCCCTGCCTGAAGAAGCAGCAACAGCAGAGGTGGTGACATGGAGCAGCTATGGACTCTAAGCCCATGGACTGAATGAGGCTGTGTGCCTATGGGCCAGAGATTGGTTTTTGGACATTTATGTGTGCATCAAATATTTATGATTTGTTCATTCGTGGCATTTAAGGAGAAAATGGGGCCAGTGCATTTTCGGTTGTATGTGTTTTAGTTATATAAGGCGTAAGTATGATGCAACCTAATATGGTATAGTTAGCTGTACTCTTAGGGACATCGAGAAATGATATATTTTATGAGGGTTTAAGATGAGTGAATAAAGATGAGACCAATAAGTGTAAATAGAAAGGAGGAGGATCTGTGAGAAATAGCTCTTGTGGGGGTGGCCCATCTTCAGGAATTTATGAGATTGCTAGGTCTGGCAGACAGATTGTTGAAACAAGCAGGCTGTTCTAAGACTAGGAAATTAAAATAAGAATACTGCCATTAAGACAATGGGCAAGCCATTTTGGCTTCAATGGGGGGAGGGAAAATGGGACATGTCATAGAA